CCCGCATGATTTTGAGCATGCTTCCTGGCCACCACTGCTCCTCTACTAGAAAAGGACGGTGAGTAAGGGGGTCCACAAAATCAACACCATATCTAGCGACAAGACCAGTGAGCGTTACGGAGGGCAGGACCCCAATCCACCAGGATTCCTCCTCCACCAGGAACATGAGCACTGACCAGTGCGCGTAGATGTCCAACGCAAGGACTTGGTCTGCTGTCAGGTTTGTCCGAGCAAAATTTTCTGGACCATTCGTCGAATTCTCCAGCCTCTGATCTAGAAGTGGGATAACTAGGTCTAAATAGTGTTGTGGCACTTGTACGAGGAAAGACAGAAACCATGCGGTCAACGGCTGACCGGGCTCTGGTAGCATGGGCCTCTTCGCATAGGCAAGGAGCCAAGGTGCAATTTGCGTATCAGAGGTCAGAATCTTCAGTAGCCTACTGTTCGCTGGTGGCGGTGCAGTTGATTGAGTGGGTGAGAAGACCGTATTTCTGATGTTACATAAGACATCAAAAGCAGCAATACAAGCATCTAATCCGCTATCAGAAGTTCGTTGGTCGCGTGCAAGAGACTCTTGCTCCAGTCGAGCTTGAAGTCTTGAGAATGCCCCTTCGCTACTGGTAGCGACCATCTGAAATAAAACGTGATTCCATGACGGGGCTGGACATGTTGATGTGTTATCTGACTCCACTAGCATTGATGAATTCTCTGCTTCATTCTCTGAACCTCGAGGTACGTCTGGATACGACGTCGACACGCTTGTACACAATGCTTGTAGAGTTGAATTAATTCCACGCAACATGACTGAAACGTCTCTTGGGGTGGACGACAGCAGCCGTTCCGAACCATGTGAAGCACTTCTGCTCGAAATCCAGTGACTGACTTGCTGGCTTGCTGTCGCGAACGGTACTAACAAGATACTGCTTGCCAGGAGAACCTCCGTCTCGGAAGGGTCAGCCCGCGATATGGATTCTCTCATCTTCTCGGTGGCAAGATTAAAGTATTTGTAACCTCTCAATAACAAGCTTTGAACTGTTTCTGGATCAGGTGGAGTGTTTTTGTAAATCAGATCGCAACATATACACACAGCCGAGACTGCCAGAATGGAATGGAAGACCGTTTTGCTTTTGAGTGCAAGAGTCGGCATGCCAATCTGCAATACACCTTTGTCTCCACGGAAATGAGTCAAAGTGTGACCGGTGTGCTGAAGGTAATGGTGATATAGATCGATATCCGATGATACCATGGGATCTTTGGTAGTATCAAAGACATTGATTTCCCTGGCGCCATCGGATAATGAAGGAGACTTTGGGAAATAGGACGAAAGGTTTGGCGAAGCGGAGAGAAGACTAGACGATGGACATGGGGTGGAAAGTCCATGTTCACGTGCTTTTGTAACAGGCGGTAACTGAGGGGTTGGGTAAAGACAGTTATTCAAAGACAAGATACACCTTGAGCACGCTGGCCTCTTTTCATCACACTGTCGAAGAGAATCAGCTTTCGGTCTTGGAGCGTTATAATCACATCGCTACGACTGACCTTGATTTTCCGTCGCTTACACTCGAGACATCCTAACTTGGATTTCTTATGTCCTCGCCTTCGTCGAATTTCAGGTGGATTGTGGTTCTGTCGTTCAACATTTGACATTTTCTGGTATCGCGACAATGTGTCGAATAATGAACTTTGCTGTGGACCTAAGGAATTCTTATGTACATTGCCCTCTTCTGTTGAATCTGTTCACCGGTTATGCAGCTAATAAGTGCATCCAGTTGCTGAACAGAAACACTGCCACAGGACCGTGCGTTGCTCACTTAGTCAAGATTACCTTGTCAAAGACTTAGAAGCGGACGTAAGCATTTTGATATGTATAGAGGTCCCGCACAACTTGGTAATTTCCGTCAGCTATTGACGTTTCTCAAGTTTATGCGAAAGTTTGGGCTGCACTAGTTGGACTTGGGTCCAGGATGAAACAAGAGGCCATGCTTGAAATAACCAGGACGGAGCGGTCGGTGAGATTGTTTTTCTCGTATGTCTGAATTGCCGTTATACAAACTGGTGGAACGAATTTGGAATGCTTTTAATGCACAGCCTCAAAATCGCGGATAGGGCGCACAAGCGCCTTGGCATTTTTTTACTTCCCTGGCATCCGCTTCTCCTCGAATGTGCCTCAGAGCTTACCGAGATAAGAAGAGGAATTGATGAAAGACCATGGAGAAAAGTTACATTTAGTAGAGAGCTGACAGTGTATATGTCGGGAAGTAGCTTATGTTATTCCGCGGCTACAAAATACCGGATAAACGAACGCACATACCAGGACTAGATTGTACTATATGTAATCGCATAATTTTCATATAGGTTATTGTAACTTGAGGATAAGTTCATGATTGCTTTGTCGCTAATTTAACACTCGAATACTTTCAAGGCAGACTCGTATGCCGAGCAGAGTCCCAAAGCCATTATGGTCTGGCAAATCCTAATACTGCTGTGTATGTGGAAGCAGCCCTTTTCTTTGGCCGCCAGTGGATATCAAGCATTCGACTCTCTGCAAGGAACGCCTGTCGGGTGGGAGATCGACTCGACTCTGCTTGCGGATTCAAAGCTGCGCTTCAGCGTTGCACTTACTCCCGTATGTTATATGACCAAGCTTGCGGATTGACAAGGCTAACAATCTCCAGTTGAATGAAGGGTTGCTTCAAAAAGCTTTGCAGAATGTTTCAACAATAGGAAGTTCCCAATATGGCAAGTATCTGGCAAAGGATGAACTTCAGAGACTTTTACAACCATCCAGTTTTGGCACGAAAGCTGTGATTGATTGGCTGAAGAGCGCTTCAGTAGGGGAAAGCGACATTCAACTCCGTGGCGAATGGGTCAATTTCGTTGCAACTGTTCGGCAGGCAGATATGTTAATGCAGACAAGCTTCCACACATACCGTAGCCTCGCTGACAAAGAGATTACCCAAATCCGAACCAAGCAAGTCTTTTTGCCTGCAAATCTAATTCCATACATTAAGTTGATACACCCTACAACGTATTTCACTCCAACCAGGCTACGCAAGAGTCCAGTGGAACAAATACGGATTGCTTCTCCAGAGGACATAGATGCTTCCTGCCGGACTCAAATCACGCCAAAGTGTCTTCAGGATCTTTACCGGATCAAAAGTGTAAATCCTGATCCAAAGACAGCTGGATTCATCGGAGTGGCAGGCTTCTTAAATGAGCTGCCTGGCCGTAACGACTTGAGTCAATTTGCCAAAGAATCTGCCCCGTGGGCGCCAGCTGCCAACTTCACAACTAGTTCACTCCTTGGGGGTGCTGTGGATGAGAAAAAATATACAAGCGAAGCGACCTTGGATGTACAATATACTGTACCATTGACTTATCCCATGCGGAATCACTTTTACAGCACTGGAGGCAAAGGCCCTTTGGTGCCAGATCTCAATTTCCCTACCCAAGCCTCGAGCATGAATGAGCCTTGGCTGGAGTTTTTTGCCCATCTTCTCAGTCTCACGAATCCTGCGGAGCTGCCGCACACAATCTCAATAAGTTACGGTGATGAGGAACAAACACTACCAGTAACCTACGCTAAAACAGTGTGTGAGCAGATCGCTCAGCTTGGAGTTCGGGGTGTTTCTGTTCTTTCCGGTAGCGGCGACTTTGGCCCTGGATCAACTTGTCAAACAAACGACGGAAAAAAGACGACACGCTTTTTACCATTCTTTCCTGCATCGTGCCCATATATCACATCAGTTGGCGGCACTAGAGGCATAAACCCCGAGACCGCGGTCGCATTCTCCAGTGGCGGCTTTTCTGATATCTGGCCGCAGCCCTGGTACCAGGGAAAAGCAGTGAATGGTTACCTTAGCAAGCTTGGGAGTCGCTGGCAGGGGCTGTACAACCCAAAAGGCAGGGGCTTTCCTGATATAGCAGCGCAAGGCTCCGCATTCCGCGTCATCATAAATGGGAGACGCTCTTCTGTGTCAGGCACAAGTGCCTCCACTCCTGTAGTCGCGGCAATCATCGCACTCCTGAACGCTCAAAGGCTTAATGAGGGCAAGCCGACACTTGGATTCCTGAACCCATGGATATATTCTCTCGAAGGGAAGGGGTTGACTGATATTGTGACCGGAGGCTCTCGAGGGTGTTATGGGAAGTCTCAGTACTCTGGTGCAAACACAGTAAATGTTCCTTATGCATCTTGGAACGCAACAGCGGGGTGGGACCCAGTGACAGGTAAGAAATTTTTCTCACCGCTACTCTCTGAAGTCGAAGTTTCCACACTGACTGTATGGTGCTCCTATCCAGGACTTGGTACGCCGTTGTTCGATCAGATGCTGAATTTGCTTCCCACAAACATAACCGTATGAAGCACCTAAGAAACTAATATTAAGACCAATTATTTAGTTCAGTTTCGACAGCTCTCTCTTTTGCCATGCACAATGTTATCGATTGTTCTATTAATTCCCTCCTCAAATTCACCATCACCTAACGCGTTTCAATAATAGCTCTGGCGAAGACATATATATAGTCTATTCTAACATAGCTATGACTCATATTAGCTTCGATTGTTCAGGTCTAGGTAGAATCTAGACCGCTACTACCGCACGCAAGTATCTATCTCATCTATTCAGCCAGCTCAGTATTATAAAAGCCGCCTCACTTTTTACTCGCATCTTATTACTTCCACTTTCCCGAACGTGCTTCCGTTGCCGACCTTATCTTCACGTGAAGCTAAACGTATCGTTGTCCTTCTCTTTTGAATAAATACTATCACCGATATAGGGATTGAAATAAGCCTACAAGTAGCATTTAAGTAGTTATTGCGATTAATTATTCTATAGATAAAGTACAATAGATGAGCTTAAATTCTCTATTATAACTTTAAGCTGATCGTGCCGCACAATTTTATGAAGACAAGCTATATTAATCAACTCCGCCATTTCTTGAGGCTTTTCAACATTCTAATATATATGCATTCGACAAGATTTGGTTTAAGCATCAAAGGCAATGTAGCTAAGTGGTTACAGCGATTGACTAGAATTCAAGATTTATCAATTCCCTTCGGGGGCGTAGGTTCGAATCCTGCCATTGTCGTCAAAAACAATTTTTTTTTTCCTTTTATTTTAAATCTATTTTTTTGGGTATCTGAAAATTTACAGTAGGGCTAGCGAATACTCGTAGCCCATACTAGTCCGCCCTAGTTAGTAGGCGCTACCTTAAGTACTAGATAGTTCCAAATATCTTAAACTTCTAATTATTTTATAACCTCAATTAAATAACTAGGTAATATATTTAATATATAATAAAGAAGAAGTAAAGATTCTATAAGCCTATAAAGTCTATTATAAAAATACTTATATATCTATTATAGAGTGTTGACCCCACCAATAAACTAACCCTACCTATAAACTACGAAAATCAAACCTTAATATGCGACAATACTACGCGACGCGTGCGCTTCGCGGGCGCCTTATTAAAACTATCTAATAAATCCTTAGATACCTTATCTTCCTCCTTAGTAGAACTTTCAACTATAACTACCTTACGTAGGCGCCCTCGTAGCTTCTTTATCTCCGCTCGCGCCTCCTCCTCGCGGGCTATACGTAGTATATCCGCAGTTATATAGACTAAAATACCCTCTAATCGTACCCTCTTTCCCTTTCTAGCCTTCTTTCGCTTCTAAAGAAGCCTAGCCTAATCAGATATCTACTTTACTTGAATTATAATTATTGTATTTTGTGTTTCGTAGAGGCGGGTTATACGCTCCGTATATTGCTTTACCGGCGAAACAACTACGGGGTATTCGTATAGCGACTTAGTAAATCTCTTATTTAATCGAGATAGTTTAATAGCTTCTAGAGGAGAGCTCTGTAATAATAAGAGATTAAGTATAGTCGTCGCGTATAGTATAATCGGTTGAGGAGCTAGTATAGGTAAGTCTTTAGGAAGGCTTCTAAGTACTCGTATAGGAAGCGTAGGCTATAAGCCGGTACCGCGCTATCTACTAAGTATATTTTCCTTGCTTATAGCCTTCTCGCGTGTATATAATAGCAATTCGACCTATTCTACGCGGGGGATACGCTGTAAACTAAGCCGGGAGATCGTATATATTTCGATAGTATAGAACCGCTTAAATACCGTAAACACGCCTATATCAAGCGGCTGCAGTATATAAGAATAGTAAGGGGGTATAATTAATAGATTAATCTTATTCTCTATATAGTAGGCGATAAAATCGCCCTAAATATAGCTACTATACCTATCCGCGATAAGTAAACGCTATCGACCCGCAGCCTTCTCGCGGGTAAGTAGCTTAAAGACTTTCTTTAGCTATACCAATCCAAGATTATTTAATGTCTACCTATTCTTACTTATTGCAAAATGCCACCCTTAAGGCGATCGTTTATTAAGCTAGCGTGTATTTATATCCTGACCCTTAAATATTAGAAGTAGTACTAGCGCTTCGCCTACGGCACTAATATACTTAATAGTAGTTACCTATTCCTATTTGCCTCTAACCACCTTATGCTTCTAAGTATAGTCGAGGTATACGAGTACCTTTATTACCTACTCCTCGCTGATACTAAATCTAGACTTATCTATATTATATATATCCGAAGGGTTATAGTAATACTCGTTAAGTATCTCTCCGACTGCGTCAAACTAGCGTTTTATATACTTATATAATACTCCCTCTATACGCGTATACTTAAGCTGACGAGCATATATTCTACCTATTTTAGGATAGCGTTTTTGAAAGCGTTGAATCTATTTAGGGTTAATGCGATCAAGTTCGGTGAGGGGGGGTACTAGGTGAGACGTAGTCGTAACGCGTGTAGCTCGCAGTTGCAATACAAGCTCAATTAATAACGAGTTAGTAATATAGGTTCTAGTAATTGTATATCGCTTGATCTATCGGATAAGGGTATCTTCTTCCGCGTTGGTAAGGATTTAACGCATTTCCTAGCTTATAGACTTCGTTAAGCCTCCGTTAAGCCTACGTTATAGTATAACATAATTAACTTTAAAGAAGTTTACTACAGCCCAAGTAGACTTAAAGTCTTTATTTTTTAGTATATATTAAGCCTTTACTAGTTGAATTTCGTAATCTAGCGATTTTTTTGATGATTGTATAGGTATTACGTGGATAACGCGTCTAGTATACGTTTCGGAGGATTTTCGTAGTTTATAGGTGGGGTTGGTTTATTGGTGGGGTCAACACTCTAGCTATAATAGCTAGTAAGAAAGTAAAGCTTATATATACTAAAAATCGGCTAAGAAGTATATAATTAAAGTTAGATTAGCTAAATACTTCTACCTTACTTACTTTCTTTAAGAAAAAGAGTATTAGTCTATAGCTAGATTAGTATATTAAGCTCTACTTATATTTAATATACTAAATACTTATTACTAAGTATAATTTAATACTTACTAGCTACTATACTAATCTAGAGTTACTACTACGTTAATATAGTAATTATTAGATAATATAGTTTTAATAATACTAATAGTATTATATATATTACTATCTAGTATCTAATATAGTACTCTTCTATATAGAAAGATTCGTTCGACTTTTAGCTATAATAAGAGAAAAATTTCTTTTTTATTAAAAAAAGAAAAGAGAAGCCTTTATCTAGTTCTTTATAATAATACTAACTCGGCTTCTAACTAGACTAGACCTAGTTCTATCTTACTAGAGTATTAACCCTAGATATATATTAACCCTAGATATATATTACGAAAATTAGATCTTAATATACAAAAATACTACGCGACGCGTACGCTTTATAGGCGCCTTATTAAAACTATCTAATAAATTCTTAGATACCTTATCTTCCTCCTTAGTAGAACTTTTAATTTTAATAATTTTATATAGGCGCCCTTATAGCTTTTTTACTTCTACTTACGCCTTCTTCTTATAGGCTATACGTAGTATATCTATAGTTATATAGACTAAAATACTCTCTAATTATATACTCTTTCTCTTTTTAGCCTTTTTTTACTTCTTAAGAAGCTTAGATTAATTAGAGAGCTATTTAGCTATTATTGTAATTATTATATTCTAAGTTTTATAGAGGTAGGTTACACGCTCTATATAGTACTTTACTAGTAAAACGACTATAGAGTACTAGTATAGCGACTTAGTAAACTTTTTATTTAATTAAGATAGTTTAATAGCTTTAGGAGGAGAGCTCTATAATAAAGAATAGTTAAAGGTAACTATTACGCCTAGTATAACTACCTAAGGAGCTAAGATTAGTAAGTCTTTAGGAAGGCTTTTAAGTACTTATATAGGAAGTAGAGACTATAAGCTAGTACTATACTATCTACTAGATATATTTTCTTTACTTATAACCTTCTTACGTACGCGTAATAGTAATTTAATCTATTCTACGTAGGGGATACGCTATAAACTAAGCTAGAAGATCGTATATATTTCGATAGTTAGTATAACGAGCCGATTAAATCGATTAAAAATCGGAATCGGAATCGATTTTTAGCCCTATCGATTCCGATTCCGATTAATTAATCGGTTAATCGGAATCGGAATCGATTTAATCGATTATTTAAAAACTAGTACTAAATAGGAAATTATTTTCTTAGAATAGAGTACTATATAATTATACTATAAAAAAAAATTCTAGATCTTTAGATCTTTTATGAAATACTTTAAAATTATATTTTCTTAAAATTATAGTTTAGTAAAATTAGGAAACTTAGTTCTAGTAACCTTTATATAGTATATTAAGAAAAATTTCTTTACTATATATTTATAATTAATAGTATTCTATCTATACCTTTTATTACTAAGCTATAGGTCTTACTTAGTTATTTATATATTCAATTTTACTTAAACTTTTAAAAATATTTTTAGAGAAAAAGACTTAATTCTTTATATACTTAATTTTTAATCTATATATAATTAGGGTTTCCCTCGGTACGGGGTAATACCGAACGGGTCGGTACGGTCTCGGTATCGGTATTAGTTCTAGTTTAGTATCGATTTAAAATAAGCCGCCTCGTCCCGAACCCCGAAATATAATTACCGTACCAATAAATACGGGATACTATTTTTATAGTAGTTTTTATAGTAGTTTTTATAGTAGTCTTAAAGTACTTATAATATTAAATATAGACGTAAATTTAAGTTTATTTATTTATTTATTACTACGGTTATAATTTATTTCCTATTCCACCTAAGTAAATATTCCAAATACCGAAAATAAAAAATAGGTATTATAAGAAATTAAAGTATCTACTATTATAACTATCTAACCTACTAACTTCTTATTATTATTAGGTTTTATAGTAGTCTAGCTTAATCTTTTATTAAATTATTAGAATTACTATAATACTAAAAAGCGTACGCCTATTTCCCGATATATAACTCTTACGTAAGTACCTACTTAATTATATATCGCGCTACTAAATAGTAATACGCTTCACGTAGATAGCTAATAGATTTATAACTAGTTTAAATTAGTACTACTTTAATACTATAAGAGAATTATATACCTAAGAGTTTAGTAACTAATATATATTCTATAGCCTCTTAAAGAATATCTAAAGTACTTAACTACTATTATAAACTATCCTTTAAAGTTAAACTAATTTCGCGTATAAGGCGTATAAAGAGTATCTTTTTAATTAAAAGTTTAGTACTATATATTTTCCTCTAATACCTTCTAATCTCTATAAGTACTTTAGCTATATTAAACGTTAGTTCGAACTACTATAAAGGCTACTATAAACTTTATCTACTCCCTAGCTTATATCTATATAGCTTCTTTTTTAGTAGTAGTACCGTCTTTCTACTAGCCTTACGATCCGTTGTAGCTTTTAATAGACGAGCTTTCTTATAGGCGGCTTTTATACTATTTTTCTTGACCGTTACTACTTATAGAATATTAGCTAAGTTAGAATAAGAAAAGGCGTTATAATAGTACTTATATTTTATACGCGCTATCGTAGATTTTAATTTAGTATTATTTTTAGTAGCTTTAGATAGAGTATTGACCCTACCTATAATATAACCCTACCTATAATACAACCCCACCTATAATACAAGAAAATCAAATCTCGATATATAA